ACTATATAACATTTTAGACACATTCTAGACAGTTTATCAGCTAAAAAAGTTAATTTTGGGGTAAGTTACTCTTTAAAGAATCAGCCGAACTGCAAGCCTCAACAAGTTTTTAATTTTTAGACCATGAGCCAAAGTTCTGTTTGAGGAAATCAGATCCCCGCAATCGGCGATTGTAAAACGAGCTGTACTAGGGTTCATACACCACTAGTGGGCAGCATTGTACAAATAATGTACATGAATTGTAACCAGCTAGAAAGTGTCTAACTGAAACTGCGGTCTAAAATTAGCTTCTGCTATTGTTTCTATTGAATCAGCGATTTAGAAGTTGCGGATCTAAATATTTTTATAAGCGCTTTAGAAATTGCGGAACTATTTTTTTAATTAGCGTTGCCCACCACTGTTTGATATAAACACAAACCAGTCTGTGGTTTATTTAGAACCACATGACTAGCCATAAATAACAACAGTGTTTCAACACATATTTCCTGCTTCCTGACAAATTTGTGAAGAGGCGTGTCTCCACTCAAACTTTACCTTCAATTTCCTCTGATAAACTTCTCTGTTGGTTTAAAAAGCTGTGGCAAAATGGTCTGGGGAAATCTCAGCAGCTTTGAACTATCTACAAGCAAAATGAAAATGCTGCATCCACAGACATCATTAACACTAACAGAGGGTAACGGATTAARCCGTCTGCTGAACTAAAAATAATGTGAGGAAAGGAAACAGATGTGAGAGGCTGCCTCATTAAAGTAAAAAGTGGATCAGTATAATTACAAGCTGGAATTGTTGCATTCATGGAGAGCTATATTTGAAAACTACAGAACTGTGGTTTTATTATGTGCTTCTTCTTATTCAMCTCCCAAGATTTTGTACTTACAGCAATTAGTGCCCACTGCCATGAAAGGTTATCATGTAGCTCCTCGTGTTTTTGGTTTGTTAGTTATAGCAAAATATCTCATGAACCAGTAGRCACATTTCAGTCAAACTCTTAAAAGTTAGTCATCAGATGTATTTCATAACTGAATAAATTTTTGGTGTCAACCCCATTTAAGATAGACGCCAGAGCTAATTGACCTTAGTGAACGCAAAAATGTCTATAACTGGCAGTTTTACAGAAATTGATGTAGAGTTTGATGTGGTAGTACCTGAAAGTTATCCTTGTTGCTTTAACATATTGCATAAAATCTTTCTTAGAAAAATTGAGATGTAAAAAGGGTGATGAGAATTTCTTTAAAAAATGCTAATTTTAATTATTTAAAAATGTGTCTAATGTCAAGGTAACTATAAATTTATTACACACAATCAACTTTTATGATTAGTTTTCTTTAAAATGAGCAACATTTTTACAACTGTATGATTAGTTTTGAGAGTGCATAAAGTGCATCAACTGTTGCAATGCTAATCTTTAGGTATGCTTGTCAAGTTTTCTATAAAGTTCTGTCTTACCAGCATTTGCTAATCAAATCAGATTACGAAGCACACCTAAATGCTGTGATAAAGTAAATATAATTATTTGAGTTAAAAATCACTTTAAGATGGCTTTAAAGGGCCAATATTATGTGTTTCTCAGGCATATATTTAAATACTATACCATAATAAAGTATCTATGTCACCTTTAGC